ATCTCTTTCCTTCCCTCCCTCTTTCTCATTCCCATCTCCTTCCTTCCTTCCCTCCCTCCCTCCTTCTCATTCCCATCTCCTTCCTTCCCTCCCTCCTCCTCATTCCCATCTCCTTCCTTCCCTCCCTCCTCCTCATTCCCATCTCCTTCCTTCCCTCCCTCCCCCCATGCCCAGGAAGGAGATGATGGGAGGTGGAGTGGGTGGTAGCCCTGCCTGCGGCCATGGCTTTCCCTGCAGTGTCAGGGGGTGGGAGATGGGGCAGGGCTGGGAAGCACTTGCGGGCTGCAGGAGCCTCAGGTGAGGTCCAGGCCAACGAGCTGGCCATGGAGGGCGGTGGAGATGCTGGTGGCTGGCGCAGCAATGCTGTTGGGGATCTCTGTGGCGATCTACGACAACTTTGTGGCAGTCACCGGAGGCCAGAACACAATCAGACTGTCTTTAGCCCCAGCAGCAGCAGCACCATGCCCACCATCAGCGCCTCCTCCACGGCTTCACCCGCTGGCCCCGCAGCCCAGGAGCACTTCCCTAGATTGCCAGTGGAACCGAGCAGTTGTCCCGTCCTCAAAACACTCCAGAAGGATATCATGGTCAATGATCTTGAAACTAGGCCTACAAGGCACATAATCAGTGTACGTCTTCTATCTCAAACCCTCCAAAAGTCCATGAGGATTGCAACCAATGCCATTTTGGCGATGTGTCCCGGCCTGAAGCCAGACTGAGAAGGGCCCAGGTGTTTTTCCTCCTGCACAGCCCTTTCTCCGGGTGGCAAACTCAGAGGTGCAAGCAGAGGGCGAGTTGAAGTCCCAGGCTGCCAACCTTTCACTGCCCTCTTCAGCTGGCAAAATTAGAAAAGATCTGAATCTGCAGCAATGCCTCGAACTGCTCTGCCAGGAAAACCTCTCATGATTTTCTCATGCATTACAAACTGCTATTGGAGGCATAAAAAGCCAGCCAGGATGCTAACTGTCCAGAAGGGAGGGAATGACTCGTTCCACTCCTGAAGTTGGAAAAGAAATATGGATGGCTCTAAGGTTGAGACAAGCAATGGGTGCCAAACTTTCCATTGTTAAGCAGGGATGGGGCACCAATAGGAAATACTGTGTGCTTGTTAGCTAAACATTTAAAGGAAAATAAAATAAAATCCCAGCAGAGACAAGAGGCCAAACTTCAGTCTTAAAGCTTTAGTTAAGTTTCAAGGAGTTATCCTGTAACGCTTCCCCCACCCCACCCCCAGGAAAAAACGCCTGAAAACAAGGGAGGGGCACTTTCTCGTTTCCTATTTGCACGTCATTCCCCACCCCCACCTCACTCTCCCAAAGGGCTTAGTTCCTTTGGCTTCGTTGCAGCTTCTTGCAGACGAAGCTTCGGGTGCAGCTCCAGGGACAAGGAGTGTCCTCTTGAGGGACCTGAAAGAAAATAAAGGTTTGGGATTGTAGAGTTGTAATTGCAGGAATGTTCCAATCTCGGATGGCAAACCTCAGAGAAAGAATGTTTCCAAGCAAATACAGCTCAGGCAAACAAAGTCACTAATCTAAAGGAGGATTAGAGAGAGGAAGTAAACATATGTTAGACTTTAACTAGAGATAATTAATTGTATTAATTACTGTGCTAAACAGTAACGAAAGTTAAGCAGTAACCAAAGTTAACCAGTGATGGAGGATAACTAAACATGTGTATAAATGCAAGACTAGACTCCAATAAAGATCATCATGATTCAGTTGTTCATGATCAAACAACTCGACTGCCTCGTCATTACAACATGGGATGTATCCTCAGGGAGAAAAGCTATCAATGGGAGACAAATAAGACTTGATGGCACTCATTCTGATTGATTCATTGTAGGAAGGAAGGAAGGAAGGAAGGAAGGAACCAATGAGAACCACTTCAAACACCTTAGGTTAAAACGAGCGTGTTGTCTATTTTATATGTTTTTATTCATTATACTTATATTTTCATCTGACTTGTTTAGACAAATATAGAAAAGAAATATAATTGAATAAAAGCAAAGGGAGAAATAACGAGAAATTTGAAAAAGATATGCATGTGTTTATATGGAAATGTGATAATTTAGAACTATGCTGTATAAAACAATGTTTTATTTGCCTTGTTAAAATTTACAAGTAGCTTTCAGAAAAGAGGTTTTATGTTCTTATGTTTTATGTTTTGTTTGTCTTTAAAAACTAATAAAATTTGTTTTTAAACAAAAAACAAAAAAAACCGAGCGTGTTATTCCGCCTTATGACACTAGATGGTGCTCTACGGAGAAGCAACACTCGCGCCTAACTGTATAGCCGCAGCATAGCTAGGGAAAGGGGAGAGACTGAGCTTGAACGAGTTGAAACGATAGAGTAGTGGATTGCTAGAGAGGTTGTAAAGGAGAGGAGGCGCAGGGCAGGGGAACTTCCTCTTCCGGCTCAGCCACGGGAGGCTGATGGCGTCAGCGGAGCCTTTTGTGCTGCTTGGAGGGGCCGAAGCGGCTCCTGGGAGGTGAGTGGAGGGC